CAATGTCTAAAATTAATCACATACCTGAACAGGCAGCAGTAAATTGTATGGCATATAACCCAAATTACCCGAAGTATAATAATAATGTACTTAGAAACCCGAAACACCCAAGAAAAATATCTGAAGCACTTCACTTTGTGTCTCTCGGTGTGTCAGAGGTAAGTTTAAGAATTTAAAACGCTGAAACTCAGGGTTCGATCCCCCGCAATGGACAGAGCACAGTGTAACTTTGCATTAATGAAAACAACAAGATTATTTTGTTGAATACTAAGTACAAACACTTTGTAACTCATAGTCTGCGCTTAGCTCGAGTAATACTGAAGAGTAAATACCTGAAACATCCAATAGACATATCTAAAACACATCGTATTGTTGAATACAAAGTAAAAACACTTTGTAACTCAGTTTATGCTAAACTCGAGTAATACTGAAGAGTAAATACCTGAAACATCCAATAGACATATCTAAAACACATCGTATTGTTTAATTCTAAGTAAAACCGTTTTGTAACCCATGAGAGCATGGAGAAACATCAAACGCACCTGTTTTATACCATCGCAGTTTGGACTAGTCTTAAAATGTTCTTAATTTATCAGTCCATTAAAGAACTTGTTTTGAAAAAAAAGTTGAAAATAATGCTCCAGACCAGTGGTCGGCAACCTTTTTTGATCGCGGGTCAATTTTTATTTTTTTTTTGTGAAAAATTTAGCATTGTGTTGGGTCAGTGATAATCATATAATTATTAATATCGGTACATGTATTTTAAATGTGTATGTTTATTTACATACAAAAAATTAATAGTTCGACCAGTTTGATATTTTTCCCTGAAATTGATCTTAAAATTCTCCGTAGCCGTGAATCTTTCCCATCTTTCCTTTAATATCGTTGTTCTTCTCACATAGCCGAGAAACTTGAACTGAACAATGATTGTGTCCTTACGGGTTGCAATGGTGAAGCCAACTTTTGGCGAGTCAGCCAAATTATTGACCCGCGGGTCATAGGTTGCCGACCACTGCTCCAGACTCTTAGGTTTCTTTCAAGCTTATGTGATATTTTATTATTCATTGTCTAGTCACTAAGAGTTTGTAGAAAATACAGTGTTCTAGGTAAAGCGCAAAATGGACTATCTGCGCTTGGCCAACTGTGGGCATCGAACCTCAAATTGTAGCATTGTAAACCCTCAAGCATGCCGTTGAGCCATCGGGGTGGTCATAACATAGGCTCTAATGAAATTATCTAGAATAGTTCCACCTTGCAGTTCAAATTATTGTTCCCATTTTAAATATCAAAGCTTTTTTATTTGTTATTAAGCACCAAGCTACTCAATGGGTTATCTCCGCTGTGCTCACCGCGAGAATCGAAACCCAATTTTTAGCGTTATAATCCTTCAGGCTAACCGCTGAGCCACTGGGGACATATCAAAGCTCAACTACAACTTTGTAAAGTATATCTGACAAAACTTTGAAATATTGGTTTACACAATGTTAAAAGCTAAGAAGTTTGAAACTGATGTAAAAATATTGTTGTAGCATCAAAACTATTAAAACGTTTATTAAAAGTCGAGTGTTAATTTATTCGTAAGTTCTATTTGCGTATTCTAGTTACGCTCCTAAAGGAAGTGACGTCTGAAAGTTATATGTTTAAAGGACGAGATGCTTTAAAATGTTATGGCAAGATATACTATAAGCATTGGCTTTCATAAAATTCTATACTAACATAGCTTCAGAAAGGTCTGTGTTTATTAGTAAGCAAAAAAGTACAATTTTCTATAAAAATCAAACTCATATATATTTCAACTTTAAGACAAAATTATATCAAATTTATAAAACAAGTGTCAAGTTTGTAAGCTTTGTTGTTGGTTTATCGTTGAATATAAAGCTACACAATGGGCTATCTGTACTGTGCTCACCACGGGTATTGAAATTCAGCTTTTAGACTTATAAGCCTTAAGACTTATCTCTTAGCCACAGAGGGAGGCGGCAAGTTTCTAAGCTGTACTATTGTTCATTTTTAAGTCCTTAAGTGAAATAAAATTTTGTGTCCAAAAGTCACAATTAGCGTCAACTTATTTTTTTGGTAACATAGATATTGTAGTGACCTTATCATTAACTATTTTCTAATTATCATATTGTTTTTGTGTAAATTTTAAAGGGAAATATTATATTTCACCCTCAGTACATGTCATGAACAAACAGTTTTGGGAAACTGAAAGATCTACATATATAGTGCTCGTCAGAGGCTTCGGAACCGGGGGTGCTATAACACTCCAACTTTTACATATTTGACTTATATAGCAACTGTAAGATACCCCCTACATTGAGCTGCTTTTAGCACCTCCTTATACTTTCAATCTTTTGTTATAAAATCTGCGGCCTCACTTTGCAATTCCTTCCTACACCACTGCTTCTTTAGTTAAAGGGATACATATTGATTGGTAGATCCTCATACAGGTAGATGTAAAACAAATAGAACAGATGAATATAGTGTTGCGTCAGCGAAGTCACATGACTAGTGTCACGCCACGTTTCTAGAACTATCCTGTACCTTGGCGAATGCTCTAGCATTTACTAGATATAGGGTAACAACGTGACGGGACAATAATGTGTGTGTGTAGGTAGTGAGTAATTGAA